GATGATGAATACTTTTCTTGACACAAGAAAGTGTAAAGCCTGCAGCTCACAACAAATGTGGAAAGCTATTGCGTGTCATATTTAACAAACCGTTTGCTGCTAATTTGATGTAATTTTGCTCACATAATTACATATTAATCGGATGATGTCATTAAGCCGCTGTGGTGTCAGCCAATCGTTGCATTGCTGATCATGATTTCGATGATCGATAGATCTGTCCTTCACAACACAAACATCAGTTCATCCAGACATTTTATAATCTGATTCACGAGATCAGTTATCAAGATTAAAAGATGCAGGATCTGCCAAACCATCTTAGATCAATTAAGCGAGGTGCGAAGAACGGACCCCAGGTCAACAAAAATGAATTTTCCCAGGCAGCAAAGAAATCTGGCCCAGATTTGACATAAAGCTGGCACAGCAGGCATTCATCCAGACATACAGCATGTGGGTCTAACATGGCCTGTGGTTGGCAAAGTTTGCATCATCTTTAAGGCAGCACGTAAGATTTGGGCAAGATGTAAAGTGTAGTATTTGGCCCAGATGATAAAAATTTTCATGGGCACTTAAGTTTGACCTGTCTTGACCCACATTAAACATTATTTTTAAGTAAAGAAAAAAATTCTACCAATCAGGTCGCTTTGAGAAAAAGCTTGCCCATAGTGTGCCTTAAGTGCTCTGCTTCTTAAGTTAATCATTTTCATTGCAACCATGACACACCAACCTATCTGGCCCAGTTCAGGCCCAGTTATGGGTTATTAACTTGGCAGAAGCTTTACCCAGATATGGTCCATGTTTGACCCTTGTCTGGAAGCCAGACTTGGTCCAGTCACGTACCACAATTCACTGTGGCATGTGGGCCAAGCAAAACCTAATTGTGTGGACCAGAGCTGGGCCACAGAAATGTTGATATGTGGATTGTTAGCAAGTGTAAAAAGGCCATGGATGTTCCTCCTAGTGGTAAGACTCCCAGGATATTTCCAGAAGTTCTAAATCATGTCATGTCTACATTCAATAGTGCAGTACTTGAAAGCGTACAGAAAGGATAGTTTTAAAAAGAATCTGACATAGAGGAAAGCTAGTTAATAATGCACCATATCTCCAAGAGGAAACGCAAATGCAGGAAAGAAACTTTATCCGACAAACTTTTCAATCATGCCTCATCAGTCCTCCTGTGCCATCTTTAATACAGCTCAGATAATGGCGTTGGTAATTGGTCACAGCGCGCTAGATTGGGAGGAAACATGCCGCGCTATTGTGCCCGTGCCTTTTGTTGTGGTTAAAAAGAGGGGAAAAATAAGATGCAATTTAGACACTTTTAAGAGGTGATCATTTCTCGTGCTTTTTTTCCTCTTCTCCGCCAAAATCATAGTGAAATTGCTGCCTCAGGAAGACTGTAATTAAACTCAAAGTGGCTCTCCTCTGAGGCGCACGCCAGGCTAAAATTAACAGGGCCCTATTAGCGCTGGGAAGCACGGCGTCATCATTGGTGAGCGCCTTTGGCAAAGAAAAACGTCCCAGCGTTCTGACTTGCTGTGAGAATCCTGACAAAAACACGACAAGCTCCAGCTGCTAATGGCTAGCTGTTTTAACGCTAGCTGTGTCAAAGATTTGATTGCTTCACTGCTGTTAAGTAAAAGTCATGCCGAAGACGTTGAGCATTACTTAAACTTTCCTTTAAGGTCTGAATTAACTGTACTACTCAAGATGCTGTACATTAATACAATCACTTCTATAGAGAGCTTCTTTGAAGAAGGCTAACTCCAAACATCAAAAATGGGCTGTTTTTGACCCCGCTGTGGCCATTATAAGAGCCTCAGAGTGTCCTAAATGTGTTTCAGGAGTGATGAATGTCTTAGCCAGACTCTCATGGCCTCAGGCAGGATCAGACAGCAGATCTGCGCATGTTCTTCATACAAAACCAAAAGCATGCAGATGTTCTCTGCATTAAAGGTTGGCAGCTTGTCATTTCACCTGTTCGCTTCACACAACATTACATGTTCTGACATCTGTTCCTGCGGGATACATGAGCAATACCACACATGCAGCACTGCGATATAGATGTATATCAGTACTGAGAGTGTGATACTGCATTTAAACAACAGTTTAACCGCATAAGTGTGAAAATAAATATAAAAACAATCACAGAGCATCTCAAAAACCTATTTGTGTAATCTATTTATTGCCATCTAAAATCCATTGCTAATTCAAAATTGTCACTTTTGGACTAGTATTTTAATTAATTCCTTGCATCGCGTACAGTATAGAGTAATGCAGTGTAGAGTAATTCCTTGCATCATGTCTTAATGATGAAAAATACAGAGGATCTTGCTCACAGATCAAGATTATAATGCTGAATGGCATAAACATCTGTCTACAGAGTTCTGTCTGTACTTCTCTGCCGCATCCAGATATTCACTAACGTTAACCGCATAAAAGCCAAATCAAATCAAACACTAGATTGCAATATAGTAAAACTACTGTACATACAGCAATACAACATGCAAATGAGTGACATTAACTTGTGATTCACTGTACCTTAATTTCTGTATTGGATTAGCAGTAGTTAAAATGTCCCAGGAAGAGATTGAAGAAGAGGTTAACATTAAACAATATAAAGATGGAGAAGATAACAGATGATTGCGAACAAATATTGCCGTTAGATAAAGCCAAAAATAATTATATTTCATATGTAACCATTATAGAGGCATACTTAAAACTCCAGAATATGTCTGTCTGAACCTCCCATCACTACTACTTTGAAATCACTAAAACACATTTTCAAATAAACACTATCCTTAGAAAAAAAAACACATATTTAAAATCTAAACAATTACTTTCCCACCCAAAAGAAATATCAAAAATGTGGTCCAACTGTTACATTATTTTTCAAGCTATATGTTTTGTTCTCTGCTTGGCACAGTGCTGCGGGTGAAGTGATATACAGGTGAAGAGGCTGGGTCAGTGCTGGTACTAATAGATTATAGCACAACTTTCAGCCAATCAGATTCAAGTACCAGAAATCACTGTTGTATAAATGTCTGGAAAAACTCAGTGCCACAATGTAATGAGCTGAGACCACACAGCTTATGCTTTAGTCCTCATATTTTATTGTTATTTTTTAATTATTTAAATAGCAATTAACCCAATGCTGGTTCATATTTGACCCACACACTCTAATAAAATAAAATAATGTTGACAAACTATTCTAAAAGAGCCAGAAACCGATAAAACAATCCCATCCTGCTTTATGTTACATACAGTATAATGAACTACTAAAACTAAAATCAATAATGTCATATGCATTGCGATTATATACAGTATCAAAATATATATTAAAGTCTATTTGCATTGTTCTTAGCCATATCACTAAACCTAACCTTTATCATATCTCTAAATATTAAAGAATTGTATTTTTAATACAATGCAAACAAACTGATACATATATCCTATGTTACAATTAAACTTTCTGATGCAAATTTTCACTTGTTATCATTGCTTTATTTCTATTCTGTTTTCTTTTTCCAATGAACACCCTGTTAGAATGTGATGCGAATATTCATTTCTCACCATAATTCTGTCACTGTCTCCACCAAGAGGTAATTCTGATAACAACAGGATACAGTTGGTCATTGAGCCACAATGGGTTGCCTGGTTGATGGCAGCCAACCTGTATTAGAAATTAGGGAGAGATTAGGTTTCACCAGATTTGAAGCTTTCCTAGTTACAGTGTAATTGTAGATTTAACATTACAGAATAATATTAATAAACAAGAGTTTATAAAGTTAAGGATTGAAATTTGATATGTGCTTATTTTATGTAATTATGAAAAATGTGTTGTTATCACTGTAGTAAATGCATGTAACAACAACAAAGAAAACTTAAGATAATTATTATTATTACTACTGATAGTAGTAATAGAAATAGAAATAGCAATAGTAATAATAATAATAATAATAATAATAATAATAATAATAATAATGCAAATTTTATTCTTACCTTTGGTCTAACAAACTCTGAAGAAGTTTGAAGCAGCCATTTCATCAAAATATTATCAAATGCATAAGACCCTAAAATCAATATAATACAATTTGTACAATAAATAATAATAATAATAATAAACGATAACAGTAATAAAACTTTATTCTGCAATCTCATTAATTAACATGATTTAAATAAAACTAATAAAAAACATAAAACTGTCAATTTTATTACAAATTACTTTTAGGGAAATCGACTTTATTTAATATAGATGTAGATGCATTCGTTTGTATGTTGAACCTACCCTGTTACATTACCAAATATTACTATGTAGGCTATATTAATATACGCACATTAATTAAGTACAACCACTCAAAGTTAATGTGTGATAGTAAGCCTAATAATAAATATTTGTAATCAAATATTCACTCGTTTTCTATCGTCTTAGTCTCAATTTCAGAGGTCGCCACAGCGGAATGAACTGCCAATTACACCAGCATATGTTTTACGAAGTAGATGTACTTCCAGTCGCAACCCAGCACTGGAAAACATCCATACACTCATTCACACACTACGGACAAGTTCATTCAATTCACCTGCACCGCATGTCTTTGGACTGTAGGAGAAACCGGAGCACCCAGAAGAAACACACTCGAAGACGGGGAGAACATGCAAACTCCACACAGAAATGCCAACTGTCCCAGCTGAGAATCGAAGCAGTGACCCTCTTGCTGTGAAGGTCAAATGAGCCACCGTGCTGCCCTATAATCAATTATCATGATAGAAGGAATATGCGTGAGACTTGAAGAATCCTCTGACTTTAAAGGCATGAAACCACTCCACCTGCTGGATAAATTCGATATTTTCTTTGGTTAATATGATTGTTGATAGCTACTGTTTCCATACAAAATAACATTAAGCATGCTATTAGCAAACAGACCTAAAAGCAAGCCATTAAGTGAATAAAGAGCTCCGGGAGTATTGATAAGTCAACAGTTGGGTAAACAGAAGACACGGCAGTCAGTAAAAGATAGCTTTATTTAGTCTGGGGCACATCTGTGTTACATCAACTTGTTAATGTTATAAAATACAAACCATCATTTCAAAATAAAAGCAGTGTCGCTTTGAAGTTTACTCTGTTTAATGCACGCTTGTCACCTTTAATAAATATTCTTTGTTTGTACAAGAACAACAACTGCTAACAATAATGCGACAAAACAATATTTTAAACAATATATGTCATTTCTGAGAGTCAGAGGAAAGGCAGACACAACAAACGCACAGTAACCACGCATTTGGAAGAAGAAGAAAAAAAAAGGTAATTAAGACAGCTGGATTAATGCTCCTCATTAGACTAGTCATTATGTTTAACATCAAACACCAGAGTATTATTGCACGGTCTGAGATGTTGACCACTACCTAATACTGCAGGAATCAATAGACCCCTCCAAACGGATTGCTCTGTTTAGTTTAAAGTGCACCTCAATGGGGGTTAGTTTTGCTCGTCATAGAGCCTTTCGGGCAGTGACACATTATATTTGTATCCGATTGCTCATAAGAGTAATTGTACTCGTCTAAAGTGAGACAACTCACTTGCATGTCTGATTGGACACGTCTCAAGAGCCATCGAAACCCAAACAGAAAGCTAATACTGTGAACGGGTATTCATTATTTAGATTTTGGCCCCTTTACAGGTACACAGATCCATAAGAGAGAAGGTCTAGGAGGAGAAAAAAGGTATGGAAGGACATTGGGGACAAAATCTGTAGATGAAATGAATGAAATTTAATTGTATTTCAAAACGTACAGTTTGATCACTTTGAGGGGAGAAATTCTATTAAAGGTAATATAAAGTCTGATGCTGCATAAAGGCATGGCAGTATGTTATGATATAGATATTAAAGGGATAGTTCACGCAAAACTGAAAATTCTGTCATCATTTACTCTACTTTATCTTGTCATTAACCTGTTTGAGTTGCTTTCTTTTTGCTTTTTTTGCTCAACACAAAAGAAGATATTTTGGAAAATGTCGGAAAACAGTAACTATGAACTTCAATAGTATTTATTTATTTATTTATTTTTATTTTATTAATTTTATTTATTTTTTGTCCAATGAAAGTTAAAGATTACAGGTTTCTAACATTTTCCTAATTTGTGTTTAGCTAAAAAAAGGGAACTCAAAGCATTGGAACCACCTGAGGGTGAAAAAAATGATTATTACATTTAAATTTTTGGGTGAACTATCCCTTTAAGTCTGATATTTGTACTACTTATTGTACAACTAACTTACAATAAATGGCCACTGGATACTAGATTTTGCTATATCAACAATAAACAAATGATCAAATGTATTACTTTATTTAAATAGCTACAACAATAACCTGATTCTGAATCATTGGTATGCTTTCAGTTTACAAAAGTTATTGTTTGCAGATGCAAAGTTCACTGTGACAATTATCTAAAGAACTCCATGTTTAGGAATAGGAATCACCATGAATTATGGATCATAATCCAGCAATTTGCCAAGCAAGTTTATTTGCATTACCCGCCATGATTGATTTAAACCCACATTTTGCAGGTTGGTTGGTTTAATTTCAGATCCTGATCCCAAAATTTAATTGAGTTACATATACAAATATAATCTTAAATACAAGCAATTTCCTTGGATTGTGTGCTTGTTGCATAGTCAAACAGTGTATGCTGACCTGATCAAATTTCACAGGTTTCGCTTTTGGCCCTAATGGCCTTCCATACAAGGGTAACTGTTACTAATGCACATAGGCTATTATAAAGGAGACAATTAGGCTTGTAGCTTAACGCTATGCTATATCTACTATTCTTTTCTATAGAAATTGACAATTGATTGTTCACTTTTCGGCAAACAATTTTTTAAGGAACACTTTAGGAGTCAGTACACATTCAGTTCAGACATGTACACACATGAACAAAGTCAAATAATAGGCCTGGACCAGACAGAAAAGAAAGATATCGGGCACAAATTAAACAAAGAAGCAAATAAATACATTAAAAAAGAGTGAAGAGTGCTGAGTAGAGTAAAAAAAAATAGAGTAAAAGACAAGACAGGTCAACAGGAAGTGCTTGTGTGGAATGTTATGCTTTGCTCTGGTCCCATTCATTATCGATTTGCACACACATTCACTGTTGTGAATATCTAATGCTCATTTTGGTCTGCTAAAATAAAGGTTTGACATCAACCAATAGTCAGGTTTGTTTAAAAGCAACTGCCCGAATCGATCGGGCATTCAACTGGTCACATTCAGAACATGTACTGAACCACTGAAACTTCATCTCGCACACATTTACATTAGCACCCTCGCACATGTACAGTCACATATGCACACAATGTATAAACACTTCTACTTATCTATTATAAGAAAAATAATATATATATACTTTTCCAATCTCAAATATCTAATTTCTGTTACTCTGTTAACGTGAAAAGAAAAGGTGCAAACCTCAAAACTAGACTATTGTAAGTGTATCTGATGGCAGTAGACAAATGCTGCCAATGTTTTCCTTGCCTATCACAACACTGACAAGTGTTACACAATGAAAGTTGTAAAACGGTTTACACTTTAGATCTACTTTAGTCCTCTTAGTGCTTAAAGCTGTTAAGAGTTATTTATTTTCAGACATCCAGCAAAAATTCTTGCAATGTTTAATATAATTTTCTCTTCGTTATGATGTGATGACAACCACATCAATGGATATAGTTTCCATTCAGAAGCTACTATCCAACCAAGCCAAGGAAAGTATGTTGGAACTGATCTCACACTTGACCCACTGATTTCTAACATTGTTCTTGTTCCAGGTGCTGAACTCTGCACGTACAACAAGCATATGTGGTGTAATCGGTACTCCACATCCCATTGAGCAACAGGCTCGGTTAACACTGTTAGGGAGCACTGATCTGTATTTTAACAGCGACTTCTTGAGTTCATTCTGCATTGTTAATGAGCTGAAAATGATCTGTGGTACTGGTGAAGATGGAGGACAAGGATATGGTTCCCCCTGACAGAGAGGCACCAGAAATATCTCATCCACACTGAGCTGGAGAGGGCTCAAGGCAGAAACGATGCTGTCCTGCTGGTGGACGCCACCTGTCAATCAACTTGATGACAGAACAGAGGGAGAGCGAGCCCTGGAGGTGATGCAGACCAACGGTAGACCCTCAGAATAAGGTTCTGAAATGTGTTTGTGCTAACCTGAGTAAACAAACCTCACGCTTTGGTGGCTTAGACGGGAACTAGAAAAAAAAAACTGATGGGTCTTTGTATTCGAGTATTTTGCTCTCTGAAATGCTCCATCTTCTCTTGATGTTTCTCCTTTTTAGCTTGTGAGGTGTTCCACATTAAACAATCACAGGAATATTATTTATTCCAGCCAAATCTTGTTTACATCAGTCATCTTATATCACAAAGGAATTTGCTTCAATTCCTCTTACGTCCTTCATTCAGCATGTCTTGATAAGAACATTCCTTATTTTGTCCTCAAATAACCTCAAGCACCCGCTTCAATAAAAGGACCTCGTCCATGTTATCATCTTTCCTACTGAGACACTGATACATCTCTCTGTTCATCATTCAACCATTCATTCACCTATGAATAAATGCTCTCTCCGTCTCTCTGCATTTCTCTTGGGCTCAGATGCGTCCGTTTCCGTGGCTGCTGCCGCGTCTGGAAGACAGGCCGTGAGAGGTGTACTGACCGTCAGAGGTCACAATCAGGCCGGACGCTTCACAGGCCAATGCAAGTTGCCTTAACGTATCCAAAGCATCTATTTTAGCACTACGCAGGAGATCACACTGACCCTAAAAAAATTAAAGAGAGAGACTTGGATTACATAATAAATACAATTGCTGCATGAGTCTGTTTATTGAGCATAAAGTATAAATTATGTCATGTGTAAAACGAAGACTTTTTGAAGAATTTCAAACCATACTCTATTTGAGAACATTGAGAACATATGAAGATTTCAGATGCAAAAACTCAAAAAGCCACCTGAAATTTCTTTCTAAAATGAGATTTTTTAGGCTCCTGTGTGTAGGTTCAGTAATAACACATCTATAGCAAAGAATAAGTCCTTTTTATGATATTTAAAGTTAAATATCTATCTAAATAATCAAAGGAAGCTAAGAAAAATTATAATTTTCGATAGAAATTTCAAATAGCAAACATTTTTGCATCTGAATTCGAACACAGGCACTTGACATACTGTATGCAAAGTAGAAAGATGTATCCTTGTGCACTTTCTGTTTCCTTTACAGACGATATGAGTGATATTTCAGTCTTTCAGTCTGCACGCTGAAAAAACTGCCCAGTGAGTGTGTGACTAAATCATGATTCATTCAGGAACAAAACAATGGACTGTCTTGGAATGAGTAACTGAATCATTCACTTATTCAAAAACATTAATTCATCCATGAATAAAGTGGAGGAATAAATACTTTCAGTAACACTTTCTATGAAGCCCATCCTCATAATGAATTATAGCTCTAAATTTAATTATTTGCCCAAAAATGTAGTGCAAGTAGAGAAAGAGTCTGTTGTAAATATAACTCAAAGTATGAGTAAAAAGTAGACCTTTTAAAAGTACTAAATAATGAGTAGTGAGTATTACGTTGTGAAAGTCTGATGTGTTTACATGCAGTTTGTGCATGTGTGTGAAAACGTAACATTCTGTAGTGCATTTAGTTATTGTTTGTTAAGTCCATTTGACAATTTTAGTCATTATACATTAGGCATCCATCATCTTCTCATCAGTGACATGCATCTAAACAGTCCTTGGGTCATGGCGTGTTATGGTTTTAGACATCTTCTTGGACACTTTTAATGCTTCCAATCGATTTGCTGCTTTTAAAAAGATCCCAATGTCTTGAGGTTGTTCTGTATGATGAGATTTAGTTTCCATGTGCGATTTGATTGGACAAGAATCAGTGATTTTTCTACTCAGCCAATACAAGAAAAAATATTAAAATATTAATGCAGGTTGAAGGAAAGTAGTGGAGTAAACGTACTGATACAGCACTAAAAATGTACTCAAGAGAAAGTAAAAGTACACATTTTTATAACTACTTAATAAATAACAATTCATAAGAAAAAAATACTCAGTTACAGTAATCTGAGTATTTGTAATGTGTGCTTTACACCACTGTTTATAGTAAGGCATAACAATTCTATAAATCCATCTATTTAGACAACAAAACCTATACTGTATTATAATGACAGTTATAGCTACATTTAAAGTAGTGTTATTAATACTTGATGCATTAAATTTTTTAATAAAAAAGAATCCTAGAAATTTGCATCCTATTTTCACTTTATTTAAAGCAGTAAGTGATATATTTATACAGGTTAGTAACTGTATTGAGACTCAAAATGAGTATTATAAGACAGCGGTTTTGCAGCATTGTTAACTTGCTAATTAGTCTTTGTATAGTAAAATAAAGTTTTAACATTAGACTGTATCTTTAAAAACACAATCATGACTAATTAATACTAATAAATCAGTGTATAATGTGATATTAACATGTATATTAAAAAAAATAATGTATCACTTAAATAAGTATTAATAACACGGCTGTAAATGGAGATTAACTGCTATCAAAAAGTAGTATATCTTTGTTGTATCTTTATAGATGAATTTATGGGATTGCTAAGCTTGATTATAAATGATTATTCTCAGAGCTGTAATTCATTGTGAGCATAGGCTTCATAGAATGTGTTACCATGGTTTCTAAACCAGAAATTTAACATTATTTTAGTTTGAAGACTCACAAACTCGGATTGTTGAGATTCACTACATTATTTAATGGGGAAGCAAAAGTCACTAACTGACAATGTGTTGTCTAAAATGTTATTACATATTTATTCTTTAATATGTTATAATACTTGCAATACAAGACTATCCGGCAGCCTGTTTATTCCTGCGATATTAAAAGAAAGCTGACAATGACCATAAAACACAAATGTTTATACTTTAAAGCTTCAAGAAAAAAACTAATAAAACTAAACCAATGTTTTAAAGTTTGCTCCCTTGAATATTTGCCCTTAAACATTTTTTTACTTGTACATGACAAATAATTTATTGACCTAAACTCTACAACGACAGCAACTATTAATAAAAACCAAACAACGAGACATGGAAAACATTAGATTTTTAATAACTACTATGTAATAAACATACCAAATAGCTTTAATGGCAATGCTGCTTGTTTTATAGTCCCATGTGTGAGGTAGATGCTGCCACATAATCTTTTAACCCATAAACTATGTAAACATCAGATGGAAGCAGAACATGAATTTACATTCAACTGCAGACTCCCAAACCCTGAGAGAGGCCTGAGAAGTCCACCACACACGCTGTATTTATAAGGTCAAACAACTTACAATTGGGAGATAGAATTTCAAAACAACAGAAGCCCTTTTCCTACTTGTCTAAATGCAGAGCATCATTCAAAAACTCGAAGGTATTTGAGGGCATTGTTTTATTTACCTTCAGCACCGTGATGTTCCAGGCAAAACTTTCCACAGCTTTACTCTGTTTGCGACCCTTCAGATTCTCCTTTTCTCCTAACCTGGGCAGATCTTCATGAAACACCATTCCTGCAAGGACATATGATTAGAAAACAAGCGCTTGTACACATAAGCAAATTAAATATTTATCGCTCCATCTTCTTTTTTTTTTTCAAGGTAACGATTTTCGAAATGCCATTTAAGGTGCGATGAAACTTCTGAAGGAACCGAGCTGCCAAATAATGGATGATATGTACTCATTCGTCCCCCTGGTTAGATAATATTATGCTTCCCTTGATGAATTTTGGCATGGCCTCTGCAAGCTGCTCTTTCATTTCTAATCTGCGATGTTGTCTGTACTCGCTCGCTCTCATTTCATCAATATTCCCTCATAAGGGCATGAAAACAGTATTTTGACCTTGGTGTCCTAGAAATGTTCAAGTGGGCATGAACAACATGTGTAAGAGAGATAATGAGACTATTGAACTATTTAAACTGAATTCTTCAGTGGGCCCACTAAAATGATCACTGTAAATATAGTTTCTGCCAAAGTCCTACAAAAAAACCACGGCAAAATTTTTGTTTAAGTACTGTACCAATGCTCACTATTAAAGGTGCTGTATGTAAGTGTTTGACTCTTTTAAAGCATAAAAATACCATAATATGCTTGCAGAAATTTAAGAAACATACTAATGCCTAGTTCAGACTGCGTGATTTTAGCCCCGATTTTGGCTCGCCGACAGGTTTTGAGAAATCGCAGACAAATGCCTGAAATCACAGGCAAATCGGTGCTCGTGCACGTGAGTGACAATCACACAGTATGAACTTTCAAAGACGCGATCTGAGAGAACCGCCATTAAGTCGCCGACGCATGAGATACTTGGCGTGCTAAATATCTGGAGCTGTCGGCGATTCAAATCATGCCGTGTGATTTGAGTTTTGACTGAAAATAACATCAGCCATCGCCTATAGCCAATGAGAGAGCAGCATTCACTAGCGTGTGCTTGTGTGTATACCTGCTGCAGGCCAGCGGGAGACTGGGGGAGAAATTAAAAATCGCTCTTTTTCGGTTTATTTGGACCCACGAAATGGAGGAAAAACTAGTAGAGATTTGACAGGACTCAGGGGCAACCGTGTCTGTTTGACGTTTCATACAGAAAGAAATTAGTTTATTATCAACGTTGAGGAGAAATGGCTAATTCCCTTTAAACCCAGGTGAGCAAACATGTACATGTTCTACCCCATTAAAGGCTTCTTTCTCATTATGTCGTTAATAACAAAAGATATACTACGTGTTTTTGGCTGTGAGATGTAGTTTGGATGAAGTTGTCAGCGATTCTTCCTATAGTAAAGTCATGCAATGTGAAAGTCCCTGTCGCCGATCCATCTTGCAGTGTAAACAAAGCAGCGACGAAACGCCAGCCCAGATAGTCATGCAGTGTGAAAACATCTGTGACACGACGACTGTGAAAATCATGCAGTCTGAACTCGGCATAAGTGAACATTCTTGTTTATCAGAAAAATAATGCTGAAGTCAGTTATTCTGCTATGAAAACGGTCTGTTACATGCCGGAATGCTGTCTTTGTTTTGGTCATTTAACCCACCCATTGCTAGTTTAGCCAATTATATTTCAGCACCCCGGGTTGCCTTCGTAGCAAACTGCATATTTCATTCATTCATTCATTCATTCATTCATTCATTCAGAAAGGTTCTCAAAGTATGCGCCCGTGACCAAAATGCGACCACCAGTAGCAGACTCCGAAATGAGACGCAGATTTAAAGTTCTACATGAGGTTGTTAATTAGCAAACAATATAAAAATATGCATGTAAGCATTAGGTGAGCAGGTTACATTGTAACCCAGTGTCCTAGCAACAAGTTACGAAACGAGATTTGCAGTAATAAGCAATTGAGCTGTTTGCACCAGACGAAACAAGAAAGAAATTTAAATAAAGCCATTCGGACGTACAGAACGTGCACTTAGGCACGAATTGGTAAGGGTTAAAATTTATTCAATACATATTAAACCTCTTTAACATTGTTAAATGTACATGCTGAATCACTGATACTTGTTGGTTTTGAGTGACAGTTCTAAAGTTCAATTTCAATTTTTCAAGATCTGAGGTGAACTATCTGCTGCTGCTTTCAGTATATTGCAATAAAAGTTATGTAAAATGGCATTCAATCTCACATTATTAGCATTTTACACTGAATAAAGCACATGAGGTGTACCTGAGGTGATCATGTCATCAAGTTTTCTGTTTTTCAGCTGCAAGAAATATAAGCCGTTCCTAATATATCCATCCAAGGTGTTGGTCAGGACAAAAACTCCTTTTAATATGAAGAATACTCCTTCTATCGGGTGCTGTTACTTTTATAGAACTAAATTGTTTTTATATAGTCTTTAGTCTTGATCGTCAGACTCGCACCTGTTGGTCCTCAATCTGGCAACCTGCACTTGTATTTGTTTTGATCCAGGAATGCAATACCTAGTTCAAAATTACATACTGCACCTTTAAATAGTGGCTTATTATTTGCCGATTATTAGGATATTGTTTATTTGTACTCATTCAAAAAAAGAGGTAAAACTGGTACAATTTAAGCAGAACCAAAAGTTCCCTACTGCATCTTTAAGTCAAGAATTTATATTTTAAAGGCTTCATTAATATTTCATGATATTTCAATGATAAATAATTTATTTACATGATACCAGCAGAATGAAGAGAGTCACAAAAAGAAATCAAACATCCCAAGGTTACATTCTTTGAATACTGTGTCGACTAACGAAGTAGCACGGGCAGTACATATTGACATAACCATGCTGTTGTAGTCTGAAATGCTACAAAAACAAATGTGCTTTTGTAAAAAAAAAAAAATTGCTTGTAGCTTGTTACTGGAAAAGCTTCACTATTTTTGAAAGTATCACTGTACCGCAGGACTAGTGGGATAAAAGATGAAGTAATGAATTCCAACTAAACAGTGTTCCTATTTACTAAATCATCAACATTAACACATCATTTTAAAACAACTTTGAAGGTATTTTCAACACCCTTCAGTATGTGTTTGCAATATTCGAGAGTGTTGACAGGACTGTGTGTGTTGGGATAACGCTATACTATTTGAATGTAATTTTGAGAAACCTGTGAACCGTTTATTAAGATTTTCATGCATCTGCAGGGGCATTAACTGTAGCATCATTAGATGGGAAGAAATTCATCCTGCTCTCATCTTCTCCTCCACTTACCTTCTTTTTGCACTTGAGCGATTTTCTCCTGCACTCCATCTGCATTTTCAATCAGCTGTTTGTTAGCGGAGATCATCTGAGGACGCATCAGACAGGAATTGCATTATTAACTGATCAAATATTTAACAATTCTGAATGAAATTGATAGAGTTATTCAGCAAGGATGCATTCAATTGATCAAAAGTGACAGTAATTAATTTTACATTGCTATAGTATAACTATATTTAAAATGAACTAAAATAAAATTAAAAATGCAATGTATATGTGTGTGTGTGTGTGTGTGTATATTCAGATGTATATACCCCTTCAAATGTTTTATTTAAATATTTCCCAAATGATGTTTAACAGAGCAAGGAAATTTTTACAGTATGTCTGATAATATTTTTTCTTCTGGATAAAGTCTTATTTGTTTTATTTCGGCTAGAATAAAAGCCGTTTTTAATTTTTTAAAACTATTTTAGGGACAAAATTATTAGCCCCTTTAAGCTATATTTTTTTCTCGATAATCTACAGAAAAAAACATCGTTATACAATAACTTGCCTAATAACCCTAACCTGCCTAATTAATCGAGTTAAGCTTTATTTTTTTTAAAAGAAACAATTAACCAATAATTAAATTGTCTATGAAGGATTTCTGAATTATTATGTGACGCTGAACTCTCGATCAATAGCTGCTAAAAATAGCAATTTAATACATTAAATAAATAAATTTAAATATAAAAACATTTGTACAGTGTGTACTGAATCATGAATTTACACCATTAAATCAAAATTTTGTTAAGGAGCTGAATAAGTATTTAACATTGACTGAGCATCAGCCTGATCACTCTCTTTGGTCATCTAATCAGAGACTGTTCTGTATCCCTAAGTGGAGGTTGAAATGTAGAGGTGACCATGCATTCGCTGTAGCTAGTCCTAGGTCGTAGTATGCTCTGTATTAGATATATATCATTTCTGTTTTAAAATCTAGGTCTAGGTTTGATTTGGCATTTTATCATTGAAAATTGTCTGCTTTAGATATAATTTTATATTTTTCTTTGATGTGATGTGTACTGTGCAGTACATTGGGTAACCTTTTGTTGGTTGTGTTTAATAGTGCTATATAAATAACACTGACATTGACATGCAAGAAAAATTCCAGACTGCATTTTATTGTATTGTATTGTGTTGTATTGTGATTAAACTTTCAATTTAGCATCACTGAGTTACTATTGTCATTGTTTTATTAATAGATTGACTTGGATTTATTTGTGTCTTTTCTTGTTTTAAGGTAAGTTGAATTTGCTGTGTTCTTTGTCAATTTTAATGTTTACATACTGTAGATTCAAAACCTTTATCAGTATTAGTTATTTAAATTTAGTAAAAGAAAAATAAATACAATTTTGAAATATAAATTTTTGTATTGAGTAACAAAAATTATCTTATTTAATTTTACAATCTTTGTTTTTACCTTATATAATATGCTTAATGTACTATCATTTTACGAAAATAACCATTTATTGATGTTTTAGTGCATATTTTGGATCAAATAATGTATAAACAGCCTTGGTGAGCACACAACCTTAAGTACTTTTAAAAACACATTTTATGATTTACGTTTTAAACATTTTATCATTTATACACTACTATATACTACTTTATATAATACTTTACACATCATTTACACACACACAAACACACACACACACACACACACACAGAATATGGTTAACAGCATGCCAAAGGAATAACGGTCTCGAAAATGTACTCCAACCTATAGATTAATTTATAGCTTTATTCTCTTACTGTGTGCACTCCTGAGACAAAGCTAATTCTCAAACATAAGCTATCTATCTACTTCATCATGAACTGACAAAAACTGATCTTCAAGCAATAAAACTGTCTACTGGGAAGACCTTTGCTGCCCTCTCCCATACTGAAGATATTTATAAAATGTCAGTCAGGACTCCCTGATTCTCCCAATATCAAACACACAGCAGGGGCAGATTTAAGCCACAGGGAAAGACAGAGAATCAGCGAACCTACAAAAGCAGAGGAGGAGGACAGTGACTAAAGCCTCTTGTCTTACTCACTCTGATGTGCCTGTTCACACTCCCACAGAAATGCATGTGGGATGGCTAAAAAGACAAATGCTATTGTAATGGCAGGTAATGCTGAGAAGAGGACAGCTGATTTGATGTTGTAGGATATTATTCATATCGTGGGATCATCTGCTTGCATATACAGAATGCATCATCAATAAGGTGTAAATCAAATACTTGTGATGATTATGATTAACAATTAATGATTTCCCTGATTTAAATATTGCAGCAGATGCTGTAAATGAACTGCAATTAAAGTAAAACAAATTGACATTCTTTTCAAATATCTGATAAATGTGAAATTACACACGTTTTCTTCCTTTAAGAGAAAATTTTAATATTCTGTCATGTGACTGAAAATTATTAATTAAATATATTTACAGCAGTTTTAGGTGAATAGGGATAAAAGCAATTGATAGTCATCATGAAACTTCAACAGTTGATTTTTAACATTAAGAATTACATGTACTTTTCATTTTTTTTTACATTTATAGATTTACATTTTATTTATTTAAATATGCAAATGAGTCATTGTTTATGGAAATGTGCTGTAATTTGCATACATTTCTAGCAAGAAAGGTTAGGCTCAGATTTCGTGTAACATTTTCAGTGCATTTGAGTCAATACAGCATCTCTCCACAATCCAGAAAACACTGAGAATGGCTAGGGAAAAATACATTTTCACATTTTTGTTTGTTGCAAGTTGGGCTGCACGATATTTTCACTTACTGCAATATATATTGCGATATCATTTAAGATCGATTGAGATGATTCTGTAAGTACATTCTGTAATTCTGATTTTAAGAATGTCAAGTAAAGTTAAGCACAACAGATACAAATAAACAATGATTTGTGATTTTCTCGGAAGTCAAGCAGAATTAAGTGTAATGTCTGGTCAATGATAATCCCTGCAATGGGACTACTGCAGACTTGCACATTGCGATATCGATGCTGAAATGATATTGTGCAGCCCTAGTTGCAAGTGCTGCTGAAATAGATTTATGGTTCAAAGAGAAGATAAAACAAATAGTGAAAATTCTAAAAAGAGGAAATATATTTCAAAACTGACAGAAGTATTGTAAGGTGTAAGCATATGGTGTCCCGCCTTTAAAAATGCTAAACACACAAAGCAGTCTCTCCATCTAAAATTTTATAAAGGGTTTTTACTGTATCAGCACATTAGTATTGCCTGAGAAATTTAGCATAAGCATTAAATGGGCCTATTACATGCTACCACCATAACAGCCTGGCAGAAAGACACATGGCAATGATGCATGATATTCAAATAGCCTACTTAAATGTGCGTTTCTTACCGTGTCATAACCATTTAGCAGCTTACGAGTGGCATCGGTCAAGTTGGCCGCAGGTTCCAGGAATGGGTAGCCGTCCTTCAGAGTGAGTGTGGCCCCTGGGGGCCCGTCTGGACTCTGCAATCTTGTGGCCAAGCTCTGGATGCACTGCTTTAGTGTGGCCATTGGGGGGAGCCCACACAGCTCTTTAAAAGCCACTGTAGCGCACTAGGAAGAATCAAAAAACAAGAACACGTTTGATTACCATAAATATTGCAGCTGATGGGAATAATGGAATTTAACATCATTGGAAAAGCCTAAACTAGCATGTTAATAAATACTGAAAAATGCTAAATGTTGAGTTTTTGAATGTTTAATGTTTTAGAAAGAAATGTCTTGTGCTCACCAAGTTTGTGTTTGTTTAATGTTTGTCATTGAATTTCAGTTCTAAATAGCAATATTATTACATTTAAAACAACTTTTAATATTATATAAAATGTAATATATTCCTGTTATTTCAAAGTAAAGTTTTCCGTCATTAAGTAAGTGTTGTAAAATCACCTTGTATTCAGAAATCAACAGTGCTGATTTGCTGCTACACACTCAGAAATAAAGATACACAAGCTGTCACTGGGTGGTACTTTTTCCAAAAGGTAGACTTTTGAGAGTACCTAAAAAATTGTGTAACTTCTGTTACCTTAAAAGTGTTCCGAGGTACAAATATGGAGCTTTTAGGAACCAAAGGTGTGCCTTTTGAAGAGAAACCACCCAATGACAGCATTTGTACCTTTATTTCTGAGAGCGTAAGGAAACATTTGCTATCCTTATCAATGTCTGTGTTAACTCCCTATCCTTAGGATAAAAAAATAAATAAATCTCCAAATGAACATTCTTAGTTTCTACAATAGAAGTCTTGTCACGGCGGCACGGTGGGTAGCACTGTTGCCTCACAGCATGATGGTCGCTGGTTCGAGCCTCGGCTGAGTCAGTTGGCATTTCTTTGTGGAGGTTGCATGTTCTCCTCGTGTTTGCATTGGTTTTCCTCCGGGTGCTCCGGTTTACCCCACAATCCAAAGAAATGCTAAATTGGATTGTATTGGAATAACTAAATTATCTGTTGTGTATGTGTGGGAATGAGTGTGTATGGGAGTTTAAAGAGATGGGTTGCAGCTGAAAAGGCATCGGCTGTGTAAAACATATGCTGGATAAGTTGGAGATTCTTTCCGCTGTGGTGACCCCTGATTAATAAGGAGACTAAGCTAAAAATAAAATGAATGAATGAATGAATGAAATCTTGTCACTTGTTAAATTTAAATGGATAGTTCTTACAAACATGAAAATTCTGTCATCATTTTTTCACCCTCCACGTTCTAAACATATTTATTTCAGAGAAGCAGAAAATATATTATATTTTGAAGAATGTTAAATACTGGTAGCCATCAAGCTAGTATTTTTCTCCTACAAATGTTACATTTTTCAAAATATATTTTGTGTTTATTGGAAAACCAAACATAAATAGAGAGTTGGTACCACATGGGGGTGAGATCACATTGAGTTAACTATAACTTTAACATTATCTTATGTAATAAAAAGTTTTTAATCTAACAGGCCTCAAACAATTGAACAGCAGAATACACCCAACTACTTTTGACATAATTCAATAGAGTAAAGTCACAACAAAATGGTGGCACTTATATTATTTGAAAAAAAAACATATGCAAACTACTCAGACAAGCAAAAAAATTAAGCTTTTCCATCATGCAGGCAGATTTATATGTTTTCTGCATCTCCATGACTGTCATAGGCCTCAGCTTTGAGCCTAATCATTTTTCAGCTTTTTTCTCATACATTTCCCTACATAACAGTGAGGCAGATTGAGAGCCAGTTTCTATTTTCCACCTGACAGAATCACACACCCACCACCGTGATTACCAAAGCCATTTGGAGATGTATGTATGTGCTCAGGGGTCCTATACATATTTATATCTGTGTTTATTTGTATGAGAGGTATGCCTAAAGGATGTGAATAAAGTGGACATTGTTTTTTGTCCTATTAGTTTTTTTAAACAGGCTAATGGAATGGAAATGTAAGCATAACATGCAATGACCACATAACATGTTTGAACACTGAAAAAAATAAATGTCATTACATTAGAAAATATCAAACTAAGAGACAGAAAGAAAAAAAGAAAAATGATCACCTTTTAAAATAAATGATTCACACACAGAAAACAAACCTGTAATGCTTTAAAGGACTACGTCATATTTTTTTAAAAATAGGCTCATTTTACAGCTCCCCTAAACATTTAGACAGTGTTAAACAGTTGAGTTATCATTTTTTAATCCATTCAGCCAATCTGAACAGTTCTGTCTGGTTCTAGAACCAGTTTGACAACTATTGCAGCTGTTGAACAACATAATGTTCTTTTGAGGCTTTTTTAGGCAAGAATGTAGTTGTTTGGATTGCAACTACGCATTTATAAGGACAGCGCCTATTTTAAATATTTAAAGTTTCGGAGATACAGCGTACACCTGACATACTGAGCAGAGCAAGAATGGTTGATGTTTCGCCACAAAATGGCAACAGAGACTGCATAATAAGCCCTTAGAGGAGAAAAACTCAGTTCTTAAAAGCTTAGTGCTGTATTTATAGCATAGTCTGGAAGTGTTTCTTGTAGATTTTGCTTGGCTTTTTTGGGATTAATAACTGTGATATCCCAATTGCAACAGAGAAAAACTGGGAAATGTCTCTAGACTGATGGCATTTCATGCCTTTCAGCCTTATAATCTTAACATGTCAGCAAAATCACCCATTTTATCATCTCTTTAGACATTACACTAGAGAATCATTCAAACACTAGCTCTAAAGTAAAGTTGGTTAATTAGTAAGGGTTTTGGCTGTTCTGATGTCAGCTGCAGATGTGAATGAATAACAGAAGATAGTAGTTCTTCATACAAAAGGATTTTTAGACTGATTTTCTTTTTTTTACGCGATTGTGCTGTCGAACTGTAGCATTGATGCAATGTCACAATGGTAGCAGTGCGATTTGGTTGTATATCGTCACTGGTGGGACACTAAGGCACGCAAGCCTCCCACCAGTGCTGATATACAGCCATATTGCACTCCTACTAGTGTGACACTGCTCATATTTTTTTGAGAATTTTGCTGTTTAAAACTCCTCTGTGTTTAAATGGTGTACTAAGACCAATGGAAAATTATATTACTGTTATGGTCGATATGGCTAGGAGCTTTCATTTTAGTGTAATATTTTAGTACATTTGCTGGCATACCATTTCTCCACCTGGCACAATGATTTACACAGATCCTAACTGCTGGTGCAAGTAGGTCTTGGTGCTGGGGACTATTTTCAGACACTGTATATCAGTTGCACCTGCTGCAGCCACGGTACAAAAGCAAAGTTTCTTGATTACACCAGAATGAGAGTATTGTACCCAAACATATCTACTTCAAAAATAGCATATTTTCATTTTTCATCAGTCTTAGAACACAATGGAACTACAGAAATGTAAGATTTAAATATAGGTAAATTATGGAAACTGTGGTCATTTTAGAGCAAGATGCTAATGGTCTAATCCAATTCAGTGATCTATGCTAACCTTGGCTAAAAGTGCTCTCATCAGAGCTGGAGATTGACTGAATGGATTCAGAAATGTTAAAACTCATTTTAGTTAACACAACAGTTTGACTCTAGGGGTGTTGTAAAATGAGCCTATTTTCAAAAAAGTAAAGTGTTTCTTAAAATCATTAGACATGGGATGATCTCCTGTTTTTGTGTGGTAACAGTTTAATAAATCAGTAAAATCAAGGTGCAAGGGTCTAGTTGCTTTTTTGGCAACAGTGTGATTTTGCTTGTATCTCTGGGATTTTGTGAACAAAGTAACTATGGATGTAGAGAGTAACTCTTCTCCCTCAACACACAACAGACAGTGGTGGCATCTGATCCCAGTTCTGTCACCTGAACCCACTGATACCTTACCCTGCATCCCTCCTCCACTTACTGTCACATAAAATATCAGCAGAGTTTTTTGTTTGTTTGCTTGGTTTTATTTCTAGGGATTGCCTACATTTTAGATCTGTATACAAGGATGCTAGAAATGTGTGACTGAGAATATTTACATGGCTTAGTTAAGCTTAACCCAAGAAGGTATCACATAAACAAAGCATTGCTCCCACAATGGATGGCCATACTCCAGCATGGAGGTGTGGCGGTGTCTGTTTTTACACGTTCAGAAGCCATGCTGGAATTTCATGTCAGCTACATTAGCTTATCATTCAATAAAATGATCAGAAATCTGTCTGTGGCTTTTTATCAAAAGACTGTGATAAGTGTGAGGTCAGAAATCTTTAGGTGAGTAGATTCAAGGTTTGGGATCACTGACTTGTGTACATTTCAGACAGTATTTCAAACAATAATTCTCCTATTTCTAACTACAATATCCGTTTTCAGTATCTGGCATGGTCATGTTATTAGCAAACAAGCCATATTTACTCAAACAGCACCAATTATCTGCACGGCCGACTGAATAGCACTAATAGCACTGAAAAAAGCAACCTAATTGCTTTGCTCACTTTTTCAAAACCAATGTATTATTTAGACAGGTCTAGCTCGTTAACACAGCCATCATTCTGGACAAAGCAGTAGCCCGCTGACCCTAATTTGGCATCATCTGATAATAGCTTTGTGTAATAAATAAATACAAGGGGAAAACACATCAGTAAAAATGTTCACACTGAAGCCCATGATTAGGCAAAAAATAAAACATGTCAAAATTAAAAGTTAATGTAAAATAATATATTTATAAATAAAATAGGATATTAAAATGAATAGAATATTGAAATATAATTATTTGAAATTATATATATATATATATATATAAATAGACAAAATTTACTTAGTGACATGTTGTTCCAAACCTATAAAACATTGGCAGTCTTCAAAAATTAAATGGCACATCCATTTTTAATAGAGCAATCCATTGTTGGTCCAGGTAATCATTCTTTAGAATATTTGAAAAGGTTATGAAGGCATTGTTTGAGTATCCATACCAAATGGGCTTTATTTATCTACATACAATTAAAATCAGTATTATTGGCCCTCCTGAATTATTAACTCCCCTGTATATCTTTCCCCCAATTTCTGTTTAACGGAAAAAGATTTTCTTTCTAAACATAAGAGTTTTGATAACTAGGTAAGTTAGGCGCGCAGGCAATTGCCTTTCACACTGACTGCGTCTGCAGTGCACAGCTCATGGGCAGCTGCATGTTCTCCCCGTGGTGGCGTGGGTTTACTCCGGGTGCTCCGGTTTCCCCTACAAGTCCAAAGACATGCGATATAGATGAATTTGGTAAGCTAAATTGTCTGTAGTGTATGAGTGTGGATGAGACTGTATGGGTGTTTCCCAGTGATGGGTTGCAGCTGGAAGGGCAAGCGCTGCGTAAAACATGTGCTAGGTAAGTTGGCGGTTCATTCTGCTGTGGCGACACCTGATTAATAAAGGGACTAAGCCAAAAAGAAAATGAAAGAATGAATGAATGAATGAATGAATGAATGGATTTATTTTATGAAGACTTACTGAATCAAATCTGAACATGGCTCAGTCTTATGGCCCTAAAATGTTCAATGAGCGTTTTCACTTCTTGGTGAACTAACCCTTAAACCAGCTACACTTCCTTGACTCCTTGACCACACAGCATCACATGGAAAAAGCATTCCCACTAATCAGCATAATCCAAACTGAACCTAAATGGAAATTCCTTCTTGTCTAACCTGGTATTTTCAGCAGGGTGCAGCTGGCAATTACTCAAGTCAAATTGCTAGTATTACTGTTGTCTGAACATGCACCACCTTACTTACCATTGCATCCTCCCGCAGGTCTGTAGCCTCTCGCAGAGGCCCACTGGCAGGCCGGAAAGTGTCATCCAGCACTTTGATGCCTGTGTTACGCAGGGTGACATACTCTCGTCCCCGCCGCACACCTCTGCGGACGGACAGACCCCGTCTCTGAGCCTTTCCTCCACCTCTGCGGTTGGTGATGGCGATGTGTATGAACAGGCTGGCATGGGGCAAAGGGTCTCCAGCGAGGCCCAGCAAGGGCACATTTCTGTAACCGGGCTGTAGACACTCAAACGCGATGGTGTACTGGCCAATGAAGTCATCGCCTATATAATCATCATCCAGAACAACGAAACGCAGCAGGGCTAGTTCAGGCATGTTCACCTGGAAGGAGAAAACAGTGAGTGTATTTGTGTGCAACAACTACTACACAAGCAGACATAAAGACAATTAAACTCTAGGGTGTGTAAAAAGACCCTCTGAAATATGAAGCATGCAAACTGTATAACACCACAGAATATGATAGCTAAAACACCATTTGCATGAATCTATTTAAATATGAAAATACTTAGCATGCATGCACACACAACATCACTTGAGCACCTGGTTATGTAGGACAAACTCGCACATAAATTAGCAAGGACGCTATTAAAATCATACATCTTGAGGAGCATTGATATAACCGTGGAACTGTTACAAAATGATAATGTAGCTTAATAGTATTTGAATTTCATTGCTTCTCTTGTGACAGAAAAAATTTTTATATATGTAATTAGGTCATTTGAATATCTCCAACAAAACATAGAGTACAGTCTTTCATTAAGATGTGTGTGTCTAAGCATATTCATGATATGTAGGTGATATTCATGTGTGTATACAGTACAGGGCCAAAAGCATGCACTAACATACACAAGCAAAACAAGTGAGACAAAAAAATAGTTATGTCACTCTGACTATGCATATTCATACTAAACAAATGCAGAGAGAAAATCTGGCAGGAAAACAGACAACAAAGATAAAATGCCTGAGCTGGTAGAAAACACCCACACAGGCGCCTGGACAGAACTCTGAACAACAGAAAATAGTTCACGGCAGGTTTGCAGCATCTCAGAACAACATGTTTGTATACATGGATGCTCCAATTTAATCAAGTCCACAAACTAAAGTTTAGCAAAATATTACCATGATTTCAGACATGTGCCATTGTAAGACTACATGTTGAGACTATGATTTCATGCTAAAACCCAAATAAGTAAATATTATGACATATAAAGATCACTGTACTTTGATTGAGTATCACTCTTTAAAAGATATTAAAGTTACATAAGTGACATAAATATGTTAAAGTGACATTTTTTTTTACCTTTTAACTGTCTCTGTACCCATACACTACCTGACAAAAGTCTTGTCGCCTATCCAAGTTTTACGAACAACCCAGACATGCTCAATAATGTTCATATCTTTTGACTGGGCTGGCCAATCCCGGAGCACCTTGACCTTCTTTGCCTTTGAGAACTTTGATGTGAAGGCTGAAGTTTGCACTCTGCAGATCTCTTGCATGGCCCCATACCGAGTTTAACCCAAAATCATAATTTTTCCTTTACCAAACTTGACTTATTTTTGTGAGAATCTTGGGTCCATGCAGGTTCCAAAAGGTCTTCAGCAGAATTTGTGACGATTGGGATGCAGTTTAACAGATAATTTATCAGAAACTACCTTCTGCCACTTTTCTGAATGATCAACTAAAAGTAAAGTTATTATTTCTTGCTCTTACAACTGGGATCAACAACAAGATTTTTTGTCAGGTAACCTACATTATGCAGTATTTTTTTTTTAGATATGTAAACCTGAACTTATCTTGATAAAATCTGTATAAGCATATATCATACATCATGTTGAACCTAACAAATGGGGTGACAGTTAAAGGGATTGTTCACCCAAAAATTTAAATTCTTTCATCATTTACTCATCCTCCACTTGTTCCGAACCTGTTTGAGTTTCTTTCTTCTGTTGAACACAAAAGAAGATATTTTGAAGAATGTTGGAAAGCAGCAGCCATTGACTTCTATAGCATTTATGCTCCTACTATGGAAATCAATGGCTGCAGATCTCTAACATTCTTCAGAAAAACTTCTTTTGGGTTCAACAATTTACTTCAGTATGAGTTAATGGTAAGAATTCTTTTGGGTGAACTTTACCTTTAAGGGGTTAAGTTACAGGATACGAAATAAATGTTTAAAAAGCAATGAAATGCAGTGCATCATACACCATTCAACCTACTGGCATGATGTACAGCGATAATGCCATTTCATTCAGTTTTATTTTTTAAACATTAAGTAATTTATTACTCTACAACAGGCCTCCGTGTTTATATCCAAACTGCAAACTTGTATCCCCTTATTTCACTAATAACTGTATGATACTACTGAATGTGGGTGAAAAGACCTATTCATGATAAACCTACTGTATACATGACATCTGTGCTCACTGTAAGATTGAAATGTTTTGCTCTTATTGTACTTTCATAACAGATGTAGAAAAATTGTCATCATTTCTGAACAACATCAAGAACAATTTTAAAATACTGTAACTATAATACTTTAACAACTTTAATATAATTATATAAAGGAAACTGCAGCTGTTCGATTGTTAATATCATCACAAAATGCTTTATTTTTTTACCATCTATAATCTTCCACAGCTGACTATAAGTGTGCTTTCACATCTGTGGTTCAGTTCATTTGGTCCAGACCGAGGGCAATACATGATACATTGTAGCTTTTTGGCTCCTTTTCACAGCACACTGATTGCTTTGGTCTGAACCAGCTGAAAAGAATCAAAATGCAGTCTTGTGACAAAATCCACATCACTCATTGGCCAGATGTTATTTAACGTTTTTCCTAAACTGCTTTTTGATTGGTCAGAATTAACGTGCGGGAAAATGCCAATGGAACACCTGCGACTGGAACAACTGCACTGGCTGATTGTATCCTTGGTCATAGTATACTATATAGTTTGTATACAACACTTTAGACAAACTATACATTTTCGAGAATGAAGCGCGGCTGGGGCTGAAAAACAATGGTTTAATGCATTGCAAATAGCGAAGGCGTATCGCAAGTCACTTCAGGAGGTGTGAATTAATTTAGCTTAAATGCGACATGGTCATGTTCCAGAAATATTACCACTGATCCATCAGGTAATGTTTTTCCCTCTCTCTCTCTCTCTCTGTTTAAAATTGTTGGTAAAGCGCTGTCAACAAATATTTTTCCTGCAAACCCCATAAGATGGGACACCACATCGGACTACGACAGCTGGATTAGTCCAAAAAGGCGCAGTACTTTTTGCGGTTGGGTCTGTTCTACAGTAGTTTAGATCATGTTCTCACCACAAACAAACCACTCCAGGGTTCGATTGAAAGAGTACCGAGACCACCTCTTCAAGGAGGTCTCAGTACGCTTTTTTAAACTGCTTTTGGTGCACACTCTACATTCACACCTTCCCAAATGAACCGCACCAAGAAGGAAAACGACCTCTAGTGCGATTTAACCGAACTGAATAATGAAGGTATGAAAACACCATATAGGACAATAAAACATGTCAAGACTTTCTGTAAAGCTGCTTTAAAATGATGCATATTGTGAAACTATATTAACAAATACTTTGACATTACTAGACATTAAAACTGTTATCATTAGGATCACAGAGCTGATTTGTAAATTTAGTAGAGAGGACACAGGAAGAGATTCTATCAAATCCCACAAAGGGAAGCACACCTTCTCCAGTGTGTGTGTGCATGTGCGTGTGTGTGTTAGTGGGACTTTGATAGGTGTATCCCCCTTCCATGACATATAATTGTATGACGTCCTCAAGCTCCAAGCAACAAGAGACAAACAAATGCAAACAACAAGAGGCACAATCCCCCAGGACAGAATAAGTGTGTGCGTGAGAGATATATTTGTGATTTCACTGGATCCTTCTCAAAACCTCCTCTTCAAATAACCATATGGCACAGTCTTTGGTTCAAATCACAATAGCAGGGATTTAAATTTATAAGCGCTAAGGGCAAGTCTCACCCACAGGTTTTCATCACAGTCTGCTTACAGTACATAATTTCAGTCATGTAGAAATTTATCCAGAGAGCACATATGTACTGAAGATGGAGGTATGGTATCTGGAGATTCATGCTGGATTCATTTTTTTTTTTTTTTTATGTCAGTTTTTTTATATTCACATTGCAAAAATAGTAAAGGTTGTTATTTGTATTGAAATAAAATGCACCTTGTTATGCCAAGCACTACAATAAACACCAGTATTCTTTATTAATCATTTAATTATTTATTAGTATTGCTTTAAATATATAAAAAATATATATTAAAGTTTGCTGTTTGTATAGAAATAAAGTAACTGCATGTTATTATGCCAAGTGCTAAAATAAACACCAGTATATATTTATTGTTATTTTCTATCATCATCATCATCATCATCGTCATTAGTTTTGTTATTATTATTGTTATTTCTTCAATTTGTAGTATAAAAGTATATTGTATCATCAACAGCAGCTGTGCAGAGCATTAAACAAGTCTGAACATGTCAAACACAAACATAAAAGCAGGTAATTAATTTCCCCATGTAAGTCTCTATTTTTCTATTAAAAATGCATTAAAATAATGATAATAATAATGTATAATGTATATACATATATCTATGTATAAAGGACTTTACATTTTTTAAGACATCTTCAAATTAAAACATCCAATATCATCTTGATTCAACATGAAAGGCAATATTCATGGGGCTTTGTTGGTCCTCTATACAAGTTTGTCCTTGAAAACGCTTATTTTGTCTGTAATCAGCATCAGCATGATTATATTTAATACCTCCTTACAATATAAACTTACTAGTTTTGTTGTTGTGTGTGCAAAGCTTCAACAATGCTTTTAATCTGACCAAAAAGAGACACCAGGCAGACAGAAGCACAGAACTGATATGGTGAAACTTATTGTAAAAAAAACATCTGCATACTATCACCATTAGACCAATGAAAAAATTAAAATAATGTGTTTATTGAGTGTTTAAAAAATGAAAATTGTTTTAAAATAAACTATTCTAGACAAAATCTCTGCTTTTGAGACCATTTCCAGCAGTCTAGATTCACATCGCACTGAATTCCACAGGTAAACAAACCCTCACCTGCACTGAGAAACTACGGCGTCTTGTAATTAAAATGGTCTAAATTTGGCATGCAAGTGTAATTAGACCCTGCTAAAAGGAAAGGTCACATTATAGAAAAAGAATTATGCTGGAAGAAACTGCCACCTATTTATACAGCAGCATAATGAGCCATCTAGACCGTAGGTTTGAACCGCAATCCAGGGCAAGTACATTAGTGTTAGCAGGCCATTAAGTTTTGATGGAGATCTTCCCTAATTACAGATCCTGGAAGGGTTGTGTTAAGTTGCACATACTTGCATCATACTTGAGTTGTAGCGTGAGTACACAACTGCATCCATTAACCTCATTCTAGATGTGGATCACAGGTCAATACTCTATACATTCATTTAAGCGAATACTTTCTGTTATAGTTGCCAGCTCAGCCTAGCACAGAAATGTAGCTAGGAAATGCAGGCAAGCATGGTTACCTGTGATGCTAAAGGTTTTCTTGCTGCATTCTGTCAAGATATATTTTTATGTCTTGAGTACATCTTGATGAAATCTGAATGCCATTATTTTTGGCTTCTTCCATTTGAATCAGCACTAAGAGCAGAACAGCCATTTTGCTGTGGCCTGAAATCTGTTTATGTTAACTGTCAAGTCAAGTCTCTCGGAGGCATATTCCCCAAACAGCAGTAAAAAATAATTTACACTAATTAGGAATCACAGTTTTAAATGCATATAGTAATTACAACATGTTGACAGAAGCCAGTGAGAATGTATGTTAGGACGTATGAGCTCAGTTGCAGCTGTGTTAATTTTGCATGCAGTAGGTAATCAGTGTAAAGCATGGCTCAGTGGCTGCTTCATGGACTGAAGCATTCTGATTAAGACACATGAGAATGGACACTGCCCTAAGCCTAATGCACAGAGAAGTTCAAAAAACCTTGCATGACCCTGTATGTATTTATATATACATATATATTTTAAATTTGATCATTGTGTATTCTTCTTAACCAATCAGTTCCATGCAGCTGCCACTAGGTGGCGAATTGTAAAAATAAAAATAAAAAACATGATATTCAGAGATATCTTTATCTTTAGAGAGCTGGCTTTAGACTTTCAAAATCACATAATGGAAATTAACATTTATGATGTGGTGGTACTCTTGAGCTCTTACCTGGAACTCAAAAGTCTCGTCAAACAGTGGATCATCCTGATTTTGGGCAGCAGTGCGAGTTCTCTGCTCTGTGCAGTCTGCAGGCACACCATGCAGTTCCAGCACCACATATGGGTCAATGACCTCACCTTTGGCACCAGAGCCTTGTGGCTTGGGTAGACTATGGGCACTAATGACCTTCACCCTGAGTGTTTGTGGTGGTACTCCAGGCACGCAGCCCTGTGACTGAGCACTGAAGTAAGAAACCTCCTCTCGCATGACTGCTGGACGAAGAACATACCCACACCCACCATTCTGCATGAAACGGCCACGGTTCAGGTCTAGCATGGCACCTGGCGTCTGCTGGTTGAGCGCCACCAGTTGCACGCCTCCCTTCCAGTAGCCTTGTGGGTTTGGGTTGCTAGAGTCAAGTCTGACTGAGCTGGGCCTCACACGGGTTAGATTGCGTTTGGTAAAGCTTACCAGCTCCTCTGGACTCTCACTAGCCAGCCTTCCTGCCTCCCCTTCCCCAAGAGAGCATAGGGTCCAGTAGGAGGGATCAATGTTCAAAGGTGTACCTGGCGTAGAAGGAGTTGATGGGGGTGAATGTTGTTGGGATGGCAGAATACTTGCCCGATGAGCATAAAAGTTTCGACTTCCAGTACGAGCAACTGCAACAAGATCAGACAATTCATGACGCAAGCGGAGGCGCCTTGGCTGTGGGGGTGGTGGGACAACAAGGACCACCCCCAATTCCTCTTCCCCAGGTATAGTCATCCTTCGGCCAGCTAAAGGACCACCACCGCCAATTTCCTCATCCTCCTCGGAAACCTCTCCTTCCGAACCTTCCTCCTCTGGGGGAAGCTTCTTTCCAACAAGAAGCACCTTGCCCTTCAGTTGTTCTGGAGATGGCAAGGTAGTCGCACGACCTCCCAAACTAACAGGCAGAGACTCAGGGGTATAGAGCTTGGGTCCAAAAACTTTTTTTAAGTGTTGTGCAAGAGTACGTTGCTGGGAAGGTGAACAACGCTGACACAGATACAGCAACAAAGGATACTGTGAGGTGAGAAAAGCATACTTATTGACTACTTCCAGGGCACTGCGCAGAGTAACAGAACCATGATGGTGGTGGTGGTGATGGTGGTGGTGGTGATGATGCTTTACTTCTGCACCATGGTCTACACCCAACAGTGGCTCTCCTTCTGGCCCATCCGTAACCCCCAATTCTAGACAACGACAGCCAGCCTGCAGGGCTCGAGTGAGACCCCCAAGATCAGCCCGGCCATGCACTTGGTCATCCAGCAGGTAGGAGCGGTAGGAGGCACTGATAAAATAATGAGACAGGGGCATCTTCATGTCCTGGCACACATTCTGGTGCTCCGGGTCTAATAACTGGCACTCAGCTGACTGTAGGTAGCGAGCAAAGCCATCCAAGCCCAAAAGACCTCGCTCACGTCCAGCTGCAGAGGGCTCAAAGAGGCGAAGAAGCTCCAAGCAGCCTTCAGTGGTGGCCATTGACAGACCTTGTTCTGACTCCAGGAAAAGGCGCAGGTCCTGGGCGTCAAGGCACTCTCGGTCTTTAGAGAGTTGCACTAGCAAAAAATAGACATCAGGTCGTGTACACAGCTCACAGTAGGCCTCCTGGAACTCTTCCAGCGTAACATGGGAAGTAAGCTTCTCTTTGCTCCTCTGAATTTCCTTGAAGCGCAAACGCACCTGAGTGAAAGGCAGAAAAATATCAGTAATGGCAACACTTTTATTGATTAAACTTTGTAAAAGTGATCCAACCTTTGTTGTTTTGAATTGTTATGTGCAAATAATTAATAAAAAACTATGACTACTGTTCTATTACTAGATATACAACTATCTTTAAAAAAAAAAAGATGTAAAAGCATAAGGCCTTGAGTGTTCTTCTGCACTCTATTGTAATTATCTTCTGTTAATGTTGTAAGCCTGTTGCAATTTTGCAGCTTTAGTTTCATGAATATGAAATGCTGGGGCGAATTCCTCCCTTGAATAGAGCTTTGAAACTTAATGAGCAATCAGAGTCCAAACACATTACACATACCAAAGGTAAATCTAATATTCAGCTCGAAGCATGTAGTGATTTGAATCTTGAGAGACAAAATGGCAGAAATTTACAGAGCTCTTCACAGGACTTATACCAGGTCCTGCATTTTTTCAAATTAGGATATGGCCAGAAGCATAATGAGTCATCCCTATACCCCAAGCTCTTCATTGCCCTTTTTGCCTTTACTTGTCTTTATACACACATGAAGCAGATGCCTCACACTCGCTGTCACAAAGACGTGTAGACTTGGCCCTGTGGCTTCTTTCTGTCCTCCTTCTGTCCCCAGCTGTCCAGTCCACACACAAACATACACACATGGAACTACTGTCACAGCTGCCAAATTTACAAGGCAACTATTGCTGTGCACCTCAGCACGGCTGGCTAACCAGTCAAGTTAAGCAAAAATAAAAAGAGACAGCTCTGCAACAGCCATTTAAATTATCATATAGCCTCTGCTCACATTTATGGCTGTCTTGTTTTGTAGTGTAGTGTAGTGTCTGTTGTTTTCTAGTGCTTCTATTTCTCACAGCTCTTAGACCGTAGGATTCTACATAAACTGCTGCAGTACATGTACAGTATATGCATTTCAGGTTGCTTCCAATTTTGTATTCGGTATTGTTTGGCTCTTTCAGAGCATATTTACTCATGAAATGCAAGTTGTTGTGGTTAATGTAATTAATTATAAGAGAACGTGTTACCTTTGCTTCTTTAATGCCAGGGCAGAGTTTACAGATGGTGGCCACTGCTGTATCTTCAGACACAATTCCGTGTCCATCCTCATCAACCAGAGCAAACTCAGCCACCAACCAGTTCCTCCTCATCTTGCTTCCAATGCTGCCTTCTCCCACACCCCCATCCCCTCCAATACCTCCACCAATGGCACCAGGGTGAGACAACAGGTACCGCATCCCTGTCACCCAGATGTTGGCCACATCGGCAGAAAGAGCAACAAGGTCAAGGGACTGATAATCATCCCCATGAATGATAGAGAAGGCTGCTTCTTCAGCCAGGTTATCTAATGGGCCATTATGGATGAAGGTCTCTGTGCTTTTCCCAGTGCGGACCTCACGAATGGCAGATATATCAAGTCGGGCTCGGTCTCCATCTTTCTTGGAGGGTTCCCAACGTAGGCAGCCCAGTTCTGTGTCCAGAGTGTAGAATCGCGAGTAGATGCGCGAGTTGGGTCGCACCTTCTTTAGCTCGCAGCCACCTTGCATGAAGGCCAGGCAATCTGCAGCACTGCTAACCTTCTTTTCTGATGGCATACTGCTGAAGGAGACAGTTTTCTTCCTCCCTCCACTGACCTTGGCCACTGAAGGGTCCTTGGGGGGAAAAAAGAATATAAGTATTAAGCTACGTCAATTACAAATGAAGAAATCTTTATGTTATTGTACATAGAGAAAGTACAAGAAAAGATTCTGCGCAATTACGCAAGATGGAAATGAACTCATTCACCACAGAGATCTCTTTGTGTTAAAGCTGGTGCAAACATAAGGCATGTTTCAGCCTGAAATGACTTTTACCGGCAATACAATTTATAGGTACAATTTGGACATTAACAATTCTTCTAAGGAAATGTCATGCAAGTGAAATGAACTGTGGTGCCCCTCCTCATGCCTATTCAGAATAAACCAACCACCCTTACATTACATCACTGACCATTAGCATTAGACTGTGATGCTGTATTTTCAGAGCTGCTAAAATATCACAGATTCTTCCTGCTATCTTTAATTCTATACTTATAATTAAAATATTTAATGCAATTATCTCTTTATGCGGCTATACTATAGTAACCCAAAATTGAAATTTTTGTCTTCATTTACCTTTTACTTGTTTCAGAACTGTTCACTGTTCACTTTCATTCTTTCTCTACAGATTTTCAGCTTTCTTCAAAACATCTTATTTAGTGTTCAAAAGAATAAAGAAACTCATAATGGTTTGGAACCACTCGAGGTAGAGTAAATAGTGAGCAAATATTCATTTTTGGATGAACTATTCTTTTAAAAACCCAAGCCATTTAGACCGAACATCTCTGCTTTTATATGAAAAAAAACACCTAAAAAAATGTACCTGGTAACACAAAATAAAAATGACAATAAAACAAATTTTCATGCTGTAAGCTAAATAATGACAAAACTTTCACCTTGCTTGACCCACATAAAGAAACAGAGATAAAAGGTTTATGTTTGCTGGAGCTGAGAGTGTTGTTGGTTTAAAATTGTGTGCTTGCAGCAGTGACCTATATATGTCCTAATACCTAAAACTGAATCCACAACAAAGCCTGCTAATGGAAGCACATTATGTCATTGCAGTAGTTAGAATGTGTAATCTGGGATTTCCACCCCAAGCCATTTGGCACTAATCAGACTGGCTCTCATAGCAGAGTCATACAGAGTATGCATGGAGAAGCTAATAAACTTCAGGCATAATAAATATCCAAGATGTTAATACAATTAAGACATAAATGTCCCCATTGCAGTGTCTTCAGATTATTTGTGGATGTCATAATGATTTTTTGGCAAATTAATCAGAAATGTAATTTTCACCTGGCAGCCAATAAAATATGCAAAAAAGTTTAAGGAATAAATTAAACTTTAAAAAACACAACTTTTTGGGGAAATATGCTCATTTTACTAATACCCTGGAGTTAAACAGCTGAGTTTGACCTTTTTTAAATCCATTCAGAAATGAGTACATTTTGATTTGAATGATTTGACCATTAGCCAAATAAGTTTCTATAATTTTCCTATTTAAAGCTTGATTCTTCAGTAGCTACATTGTGTACTAAATTGAAACATTGCTATTTACTTCAGGTAGGTCAAACTAGACTAGGATCTATACTCTCATTCTGGCGTAATAATAAAGGAACTTTGCTGCCATACCATGGCTGCAGCAGGCACCATGATATTATGCAATGCTGTTACCTAGTTAGTTACCTAGCTGGCGACTATATTATAGATAATGCATAATATAATAAAACAAAATAATAAATTATCGAAACTCTTGGGTCATTTTTGAGAATTAGGCTAATGGTTTAATCTCCTTCAATAATCTAAGCCAAGCTAAAAGTGCTCCCACTAGACCTGGGGCCTCATGTACGAAGACTTGCATGGAAATCATACTAAAACATTGCGTACGCACAAAGCTGTAAATGTGCGTACGCAGAAAAAAATTCAGATGTATGAAACACTGCGTACGCCGAATCTCACGCATATTCTTTTGTACATCCGAATGAACGTGAAACTGAGCGCAACATGCACGAGCACAAAACCCCTCCCAGCCTCCTCCCCCGTATGAATATGCTAATGACTATGCTAATGGCAAAACCCAACGAAAAAGCAATGGCAAGAGCAAGCAAAAAGAGAAACTTTGAACAGAATGTGAATTGGAGGTGCTGCTTTCGGAGGTAGACCAGAGATATTGGCAAGTTTGTTCTCCGGAATTAACAACAAAAGAAAAAAATAGAGAGGGAGAGTTTAGCTGATGTGGTTAACACAGTTGGGTTTGAACATCGCACTGAGTGAATTAAAAAAGAAATAGTGTGGTTTATAGCTGTAAAATGTTGCAGTACTCTTCATAGTCTCAGTGGCGCAGCTCGTAAGACACGTCAACATGTTTTGACACGTTCGAGCATGAACTCGGTTCGAATCCAGCGTCTGATGAACTCTTTCTTCTTTTTTCTCCCGCTACATATCAGATTTTGCCAACTATTTATCACGAGAAAGACAAGTAGAAATCATTAATAAGTTTTCGCATCATATTTTATTTGCACATTTATTGAATGGAAATGTTTCTGATTCATGCATGCAAATTCATCTTCAGATAGTGTCTTTATAGCAATGTGCGTGCAGTAGATAGCTCAGATTACATTGAGAAAACAGGCGACCGCTGCAAATTGTGCTTTAATGTTTAGCTGGTCAACTGTATGGTATGGAAACCTTATACCTGCTAGATGAACCCGTCTCATACAGCTGCCATTGCAAGGCTCAGACACTTTGTAGAGAGGAATTTAACACAACTGCCTCTAGGAGTCGCCAATGGAAATAAAATAGACACGCACAAAAAATGTGCATACGCCAGCCATAAAGCTGGCGTGGAGCTGCGCACATTCCCACGTTCAGTTTATCGTTAGTAAATCCAAACGTGAGCAATTCTGAGCGTGAAACCTGGCGTACGCAAAGTTTTTGTGCGTACGCAGCGTTGATACATGAGGCCCCAGGTGATCAACTGAGTTGGATTTCAAAAACTCAACTGTTTAAATTTAGGTAAAGTGTCAAATTTCCCCTAAAAAATGAGTTCCTTTAAAGCATAGGTATCAAGAACAATCTCTGAAGGGCTGCAGCTCAGCACATGTTTTGTTCCAAAAACTTCAGAGTTCCATTCATACAGTACTGTATAGAATGTACTTTTCTAACGGCCAAGTAGTACGTTCAAATTCAAATGCAGTACCTACTGAGTACACAGCCAAGGCGTTGAAGATTCTATAGACTATAAAGCAGACGTGAGTTGAAGGTGTTCGTGCATTAGACTATGCAGAGCTGTGGCCCTCCAGGAATTGAATTTGAGTCCATTACTTTAAGGGAAAAATAGTATTTCGTTAAAGATTATTCACTTCTAATTTTTTTGTTTGATTTGTTTGTTTTCTGGGGCGACGCAGTGGCGTAGTGCTGTTGCCTCACAGTAAGAAGGTCGCTAGGTCGCTGGTTCGAACCTCGGTTCAGTTGGCATTTCTGTGCGCAGTTTGCATGTTCTCCCTGCGTTCGCGTGGGTTTCCTCCGGGTGCTCCGGTTTCTCCCACAGTCCAAAGATATGTAGTACAGGTGAATTGGGTAGGCTAAATTGTCCGTAGTGTATGAGTGTGTGTGTGCGTGTGTGTGTGTGTGGGTGTGTGGATGTTTCCCAGAGATGGATTGCGGCTGGCATCTGCATCCGCATCCGCTGTGTAAAAAACGTGCTGGATAAGTTGGCGGTTCATTCCGCTGTGGTGATCCCAGATTAACAAAGGGACTAAGCCGACAAGAAAATGAATGAATGAATGAATGAATGTTTTGTTTTCTAAAATGCTGTTTCACACTGACATCCTTTCTGACTCAGAGGAAACAACACAACCCGAGTTTAACAAAACACCACAATTCTAGAGTTCTTGGGCTGAGTAAAACCCATTTGACATTCAGACCAGAGGAGCAGTGGATGAGTTCAGGTCAGTGTGTGGCCGCCAAGCACTCTGACATCTTCATTTGTCTTAGTTTGTCTGTTTTTATGCAGCCGGCTGACTCTGTTCCTCGAAGCTGCCATGCTTCTGGATCAGAACCTGCCTGACGAGCCGACAGCCTGCCGCTGCGAATCCAGGTCAGCAGGTGTTTCAGCAGGCTGGGTGATAGCAGAGCTCAAGCAATCAGGGTGAGCCAGGAAGCACAGCGCAGGCTAGCAGGCGTGACCACGCAAGTCTAAAAAGCAGTTTTAGTGGTTAGATTCCCAAGGGCAACAGGAAAAGAGGCAAAAAAAAAGCAGGTTGTTCATCTGTCCAACCAACCAGGCCACTTACCCATCAGAGTTCTCCAGGAAACCATGACAACAAGTCTGCAAAGCTTTTAATGTATCATTCTAGTCTAAAAGGGCATCTATCAGACTTAATCCCCCTAAGTCCAATTCATTTTGCTTTGTTTTTTAAGCATTTTGATGTTTTCCACCAAAGAATCAAGATGACTGGATGGAGTGGAATGTAAGTCAGTGTTAGAAAAAACAGCTGCATAGTACAGGGAGACACATAGTAAGAGTGGGAGTTAATGAGATGGAGGGAGGAGTGCAATGAAACAAATGCAGAAAGGCTACTGGAATTACTATAAGATACAATCTGTATTACGTAAAATGCACACATCTTTCCTTTATAATAGAAAATTTGACCAACATTATAAGCAATTTCCCAGCAGCAGTCTGATAGGGATAAGAGAGTAAAAGACACAGCAATGGGGATCTGGGAGATGAAGTGTGGTTAAATTTAGATGTGCTCCCATCTCCACTTAATCAAGGAAAATGGGAGGAGAATGGAAGGGAAGCACTAGAAAGAAAGACATAATAATTTGAGGCTGGATGGACTTAGAAAGAGGTAAGAAGAGAAAATGAAGAGTGACAAAGGAAAATATAATAGGGAGTAAAATGGCGTCAGTATGGGTTCAGACTGAGGGAATAACCCTTGGTCTATTCATACCAGAACTGACTGGTTTTAATAACAGTCGAGTCCTTGCCCTTTAAGGAACATTTTTAAGCTCATCAGTGATTTGGCAGCTAAAATCCAGAATGACATCAGCTCTACTACTGAGCC